GGGGTAGTATACGTTTTAAACAATAATATGGATAAATAATACATCTAATTATTCCTATTCATTTCACAGAAATAAGATAACATCTCACAAGGCAGTTCAACAACAAAACTGAGACAAAAGCTTGGAACAATAGCCAATATTCATTAGCTGTTCAAGAAAGCTTGACTTGATCAAAAGCATTCGTCAGAGAAGAGAAATGTGGCTTCTTTGACAGCTACACTGCCTAAAAAGTTGTAGAATGAAAATGAGTTGCAGCCGTGTTCGTTTTCAGACTGTAAAACTCAAAACAAAACGGAAAAAAAAATATGACGGCTATGCTTTTGGCAAGAAGATTTTAGAAACCAAAATAAGAAGAAAATGCCGACGGTGAGAGATCGTGTTACGTTGTTCTGATACCTCATAGGCATGTAGAAGGTTTAGGTGGGTTTTTTTGTGTTTGTCTGTATGTTCGTGCCTGCATGTACGTAATTTGTTATGGTTTGAGTTGATATATTTAGAGTGTCATTAGCAAGCAGGCAATTTTGCTTCTGCTCCCCTCGACAAACTATTGATGAGTTGTTTGGGGGAAAGCTTCAATGATTTGAAAACTTTTAAAACTGTAAAGCGATACAGGTGATTAGGGTACTTTGTGAAAGCAAGCCAGTGTTGTTGTTTTTCTTTCCCCTTTGACGAACCTCTTTCAATGGAGGAAGAGCCATCACCTGTCACCTTCCAATCAGAATGTCATGTATGTGTGTACACCCAATTAGGACTCTCGGTAGCATCCACTTACATATCTAAACGCTTTATGTTTTACGTAATTTCAACATTTTTGCACGATTGCCTTAGGCTCATTATAACTGTTACTTATGGGAAACGCACTGATCTAGGCGCGCTCATATGACCTTGTGCAGTTGCGAGCGCCGTCAAACCCCATACTAACTGATCTAATAAACTGGAACTTTCTTTTCAAAACTATCGGGTCATGGAAAAATATAAGACACATTATCTGAACCAACTTCCAGAATACGCAAAGTGCAACAACTTTGTCAATCTTGCATAGCCAAAATCATGAATTTGAATACAAATAGGCCATTAGCAAGGTTTCAGTCTGTTTCCAATCTCTACAGATTAATTATAAGACTCTAGTATAATATCTGTCAACTAGGACGTTGTATCCTCTCAGCGTAGGCTGGCTTTGTCAGCAGGGTCGAAGCAGGTGGCTTCCTAAATGATATAAATAGGGTTGACGAGAGCGTAACTGACATTATGTGAGGCATCGGGGTGAAATCAGGTGCACGTCAAAATAATGGAGTCGAAAAACTGGCATTCTTCGGTCCGTTAGGCAATTTTTATCAAATTTTTGTTTTTTAACTCAATACCTTTAAGATCCATTTAAAACATTGTTTAGATTTTTACTGAAAAATATTCATTTAAGGCCAAAAAAATTAAATTTACAGTTTCTTAGCACTCTCAAGCTTTGAAAGTCGACAAACTTTAGCGGCCATTTTCTTGTTAATTTTACTTCTGAAACCAGACAACTCCCACCTCTTTTGATCGTAAATATCTCGACGTCTAATCAAGATAGATGTGTATTTCTTTCACCGAAAGCAAGACAAATAAAAGGGCTAAAAACTGATACTAGTAACTCCACATGTCAAAAAACTAACGAGCGCCTCATTCCTCCACGTCGTGACAGACATAATTATTGCAGCTTGTCCCGTCTGTTATTGGTCGTGGACACTATCCTCACGCTAGACGACAAAACACGCATATATCATGAAATGGAGAGGGAGTAAGAGGGGAGAGAGAGAGAG